AACTTAAACAGGGCTCGTTTTGGAGCCATGATGAGGAATAGAAGCAACAGAGAGAGGCTGTAGCCCAGGAGTTTGTACACCATCGAGTCAGAGTAGTAAAACTTCTTTTGCAGACCGTGCTGTTTGTACAGATGAGGGATGCCATTTTCCGCACAGCTAGCAATCCAGATTTCCTCTCTGGCAGTCATCCCAGTTAAATTAATCTGTTATTTATCAGGACGTAGAATCACTTTAAAGAAAAAAAAAAAAAAAATTAAGCAACCCCGCTTCCAGTGAGAAGAAAGACAATGCTAGAACCAGATGCTTTTGTTTCTTCATGGAAGATGCCTGCTCTGGATGAAGCAGTTGTAGTCACTCTGGGTGTGCTGCTGTTGATCTCTTCTGGAGTCACTGGAGGAGGAGGAGGGTGGAACCGCAGAGCATCGCAGTCCATCTTCCGACCACAAACCTAAGGGGCGAAGCCCATCGTTGGACAGGGGGTCGTTTCAAGATGCTGTTAATCAGGGTTCTCTGTATAAGCAAAGCACTTCTGATATGGTGTGGTCGTGGCCTGTCGCTAAAGGCGCTGGTCAGAAAGAGCGGGCTTCCTCGCAGACTGCTTTTTCCCAGTGGCCAGCTCGCAAGGACGCGGGTCCAATAGGTCCCACGCGCCCAGCCTCAGACGCGTGGGTGACGGGGGGCGGGCAGGGAGGCTCTCAGGAGCGCCGAGCTGTCGTACTTGCCAGTAGCAGGCTGCATGCGAGTCCGTCTGACTGTGCAACCCTTGTGCTAAAGTGGTCCTGACGCCAAAGTCGTGCTTCTCTGTTTTCAGTGCCATTTGGTGAAGTGCCAAGCTGCATGCACTGCCGTCATTGTCAGTGTCATATAATACCAACGACTTTCGGAAAGCACTAATGAACAAGTGCAATTTCTTTTCTCTATTGTTGGGTTTTTTGTAAAGTTGCTCAAATGCTCTCAGGTATGGCGGCCCTGAACGGAGGACTCGGCGCAACAGGCTTGACGAACGGTACGGCCGGCACGATGGACGCGCTCACCCAGGCCTACTCAGGAATCCAGCAGTACGCGGCCGCCGCGCTGCCGACGTTGTACAGTCAGAGCTTGCTGCAGCAGCAGAGCGCCGCGGGCAGCCAGAAGGAAGGTAAGCACCCGCCGCCGGCCGAGCGAGCCCCACGCCAAGCAAGCCACGTACGGCAAACGACAGCTTCACAGAGCCCTAAGGAAGGACCTCGAGTAGCCTGGTCTTTGATTTTTTTCCATTTTCTCCTGTTTGGTATTGTTACTTTCTTTAACCTCTGATGTAATTCATTTCTACCCATCTGCCCTTCAAGTTACACTTTCCTGACCATCCTTCCTTACACAAAAGCATTTACCAGCGGCCGTGTAAAAAGGCACCGGTAGCAAAAATCATCCCTTTATGGGGGCCGTTCTCTCTTTTGGTTTCCATTTTCTGTGATAATGGAGTTAATCTGATTAGGTTTAAGGTTTTGAGTTAATGACAAGATCCGTTTTCGCTTTGAGTGGTTCTTTGCTTAATTGTGGGTCTTGCGGGGAAGCAGCTAAGTGAATGATTGCCCCCTCTCCTCCTGCCAACAGCAAATAAACCTCAGGAAGTTACTGCTAAGAATAAATGAATACTAATTACAAGATGTTTAGGAAAATGAGGTTACCCTTTTCCCCTCTTCCATTCCCCTGCACACTTCCCAGGCATTTTGGGGGTTTGTTTCTGTTTTCATTGCTTTCTCTCATCCTAATTTCCAGCTAATTCTAGAAGGACAGGAAAATATTGCGTGCTTTCTAAGATTGCATCTATGTTGTCACTACTGTTCTTGCCAGGGCTAAGCTTTGGAAATAAACCTAGTATAATATCCTCAAGAGAAATTTTTTTATCCCCTTTTAAAATAGTATCTTGTACTGTTATGGGAAGTGTTTCTGAGGAAGACAAATTTGGCATTCCCCCAGCTGGCTGTTGTAGAGCAACACTGGAGTTAAAATGTATATTTTCTCTGAATTCTTTACTTCATTTACTGCTAACAGCTTGGATTATTTAAAATCAATTTTTTTAAAATTTTTTTTTTTCCCCTCATTTTTTCATGTTCTCTGCATTTATCTTTCATCTCGCTCACTTTGGTCAGTGACAACAGACTATTTGACACCAGAAAGAAATTGTTTATTTGTTGCCATTGTTAGATACATATTGGAGGACAGTTTGACTTTTTTCTAACTATTTTAATTTTTTTCTATTTATGAACTTTCATATCGAGTGTAGGCTTACTTTTTATTATTATGAATTGGCAGCGTCCCTTTTCAAATACAGTAATTTTTGTTATGTGTCTTGTTTCTGTTAGTAAGGGGTTAAGTTAAAGTGAGTAAATTCCGTCATTGAATACTGACAACTGCATTTTGTCTCTTAACATGATTTCTGATGGAATGGTGAAGAGTTTAGAGTGGCTGAGGATAAACAAGTGCCAGAGAAAAATGCTATAAAATATTAAATGCTGAAGCACAGTGAACTGCCTCATGCATATGCTCTAAACTATTGTTTAATAAGTTTTTTCTTCCTATTTTAAGAAATACTATTTTCTGATAGGGTAGTTTATTTGCTGTAAGAAGAAATAAGTTCCAGATGGCCAATTTTTTCCTTTTTTTTTTCACCCCCAAAAATTTTTTTTCTTTTTAAAAACATTTTTTTTCTGATCCATTTATCCCCTCCTTTTGGGCAAACATTGAAACCTTTTCCTTCGGGCTGAGAGGTAGCAGCCAGCCTAGTTCTTCTGTATGGAAGAATGTGACTCTGTTGCGGAAAGTACTCCATAAGTCTGATGTGCGCTTTCCTCTTCCTCTCCAGAAAACCAAAGACATCACATCTCAGGCATACTTAGGTTCCATTAAGTAAGGGAATACTGAAACAGGTTGCTCCTGCTGTGTATATACCAGAAATGTTTGTTCCCTTTGCGTACCGCTTATGCTCCTGGTGTCTGCATGGGAAGGTGACATGGTCTGGCTCCATCATACATCATGTCCTTCCAGGCATCCATTGCTCCTTTCCAGTATGTTATTGTAAAGGAGAAATTGAGCTAGGGAAAAAAATAACCTATTAGTTCTAGGATGAGTGTTTAAACCAGCAGCACTAATAATGTGTATCTCAAATTTTGGCTGTAAGAAAAATATTCAAAGCACGTTTGAGTTTGCACCTTTCTTTGCAAACTCTACATTGTCTACAGCCACTTTAATTTCAACCCAGCTGCTTTATTTTGAACTTTTTAAAAAGACTTACTTTACAAAGTTTCTTCCAGGAGACAGAGCTTTCTATGGGGAATTTGTATTTTTTAAAAAAGGTGTCATTTTGAAATGAGTCAGTACAAATTTAATTCTGAGTATCTTTCTGTCTCTGACTTCCCTCATATCCAAGTCACAAGGTTTGCTTTGTCTTATTCTTTTCATTCCCATCTCCACCAGCTTCCTGCCCTTTGAGTTTACATCTGTGATACTCAAATCTGAGCTCAGCTCAGTATTTCCTTAAGTCCCCACAACTAGAATTAAACCGACAAACCCATGCAGGTGTTTGAGGCAGCGGAGGACTCCTTGTGCAGTTCTTGGGGTATTGTGAGAGACTAATGCATTGTGTACCTGTTTTCCTAACCTGAATTATACTGAAAGACACTCATATAAATTGAAGAAAGAGGCTGCAGTTTAACTTCTTCTGTAGTAGAGTTATCAAGTAAACACTTTTAAAGATAGGATGCTCTAAAGAGCTGCATTTCAGCTCTATTCCTTTGATGATCCACTTGCTTTTGTTCCTTCAAAGCTGGAAAGTGAAATGCTTTCTGACCATCACCTTCAGTAAGTATTACGGAAAAATAGATTAAATATAGCACTTGTAATAGCTGTTTTCATACTTTTTTTCTGTTTGTTTTCCTAAAGGTCCAGAAGGGGCAAACCTCTTTATTTACCACCTCCCCCAGGAGTTTGGAGACCAGGACATTCTGCAGATGTTCATGCCTTTTGGAAATGTTATCTCTGCTAAAGTCTTCATTGACAAACAGACCAATCTGAGCAAGTGCTTTGGTATGTCAAATTTAATAAATCGAATAGTAAAAACCACATGCACTGTTACTGAAAAGGGGCCAGGAAAGAAAATTAACAGCAATGTGAGAAATGTCATACTGGAATCTCATTCCAAAAATAATGGACTGCTAATCCTCAAACGAGCGCAGAGATGCACAGACAAACTAGTTCTAACTAAAAATTGGGTATGAAAAAACAATAATAATCTTCCAGTCTGACATCTCGCATGAATGTGTCAAGTACATGAAACTAATTACACCCTATGTGGGGGAATGTCATTTAGTATACTATTAAACTGCGTTATTACGGATACCTAATTATTCTCTATTGTATAGCCGAGCCACTTAAAAACGCTCTATCTTTAACCCATTACTTCTACATTACAGGAATTTCTTTCTTCTGAATTAAGTACAAGATTTTGCAATTAGTGATTGAATGGTGTGTACATGTAGTTCAGAACGCTTTACAGACAGTTGATGTCTAGATATGCAGCTCCAGCTGTTGCAGGCAGGCTCCAGTGTGTTATGGAAGGAAGCATCTCCCCTTACCTTAGGGCAGGGATGAAGGGAGCCTCACGAGATCAGTGTCAAGTTTCCCAGAGAACACTTTGAGCTGCCAGAAAATTAGATCAGAGGAGAAGATGATATGTTGGTGTGAAGCAAGTTCTAGGGTTGATTAAGTGGGCTGATGTCTTTTGAATAGCATAGATGCACCAGCTCAGTGCTTTGGTGGAGTGGAGTACAGAATGTAAGCGTGTGGCAATCTGTTAGATCATTGCTCTAATAATTGTGGTCTTATGCAAGGCATGAGGAGGGTCTAGGAGGAGGAAGGAAGCTCTGAATGATAAGTTTTTATAAGGTTGGACCTAAAATATTGGAGCTTCCATAAAAGCGACAATTCTTTCCCAGAGTAAAGGAACGCAACTGTGCGTATGCCAAAAGAGTAGCCAGTCCAGACAACCCCCTAGTTTCCAAAACTCCTTTGTACCAAGTGTTGCCCTTTGCTCAGCACCATCCCTTAGTTCTGAAGTGCCCCCATTTGAAGTGTCCCCATTAACCATAATACATGTTTCTTAGCTTGCATATCATTACTATTTTTTAAATCTAGGTTTTGTTAAAACGTGCCTGTCTGAGGATTTGTCTCCAACAGAGCCATTCACGGGCCCCACAGGTACTGGGCTTTAACCCATTTTGAAAGGGCTTGAATTTATCTAAACAGACAGTACCCAAATATGAGGAGAATTCAAGTTACCTAGAAATACCTACTGCACTGGAATTCAAGCCTTGGCACAGTCCGAGTGGTTTTCACCTGAAGGCGAGCCCTTAGTATGTTTGGAAAGTTAATTAGGTTCAGAGAAAGGGTGTAACATTCTTTCTGCATTTTTCCATAGTCTCAGTTCATTTTTGAAGCATTCACCTCTTTAAGCTTTACAAAACATTGTTCATATCTGTACTGATATAATCGACCATGTTTCTGCAATGGGTTAAAACAGTCCCTGAGGCTGTACCAAATTTGAAAAGTGGAATTGAAATGGACTCCCTATTGATCTGGAGCCAGCTCAGTTAGTATGTTGGGGTGACAAAATCGTTGTTGAGGTCTCCAGGAATCTTGATGAAATGTCAAATCAAGCTACATTAATCGAAATGCAGCAATTGTGGTGACTGCTGAATGGATGTAGATTAGTTTGAGCAGGCAGCTCAATTTATCAGCTCACTTCCCACACTTGATTTTTGTGAGTTTCCTTTTACTCTTTGATTACCTACTTACACATTTGTCTGGATTTATGGGACACAATTACCTAACTTAGAGTGATGCACTGAGGTTATCGTATTTGGGGGAAAATGGAGAGGTCAACACCCAAAGGATGGAGGAGTCCTCTGTCTTTGTTGCATTAGTCAGCTTTCACTAACATTTCAATTTCTCATTCTTCCTCCCCAGATATTCTGCCAGCAGTGAGAGAGGTCTGCTTTAAAAACAAAAAGTACTGCAGTGGCAGAGGAAGTTGAGATTTTCTGATTCAGTAGGTGACTACTTGGTGATGCTGCTAATCACAGGCAAAGCCAGAATTAATCCTGCTAGTTTAACATACTAGCATACTCTGTATGTACCTCCTCAGCTTTATTAGTAAGAATCGTCTATTTGTTGGTTTGGTCCCATATTTGTGTTTTAAAAAGCTTCATTTTTTCTCTGTCCTCCCACCCAAAAACTACATCAATAGGACAACAGTGCATCTGAAGAACCCATTTCTCTCCTGTATCATTAATGGTCATTGCTCTTGGTACAGTTTGGATTTGGTTTTTTTGTTTGTTTGCTTTGGTCTTTTTTTCCCTTGTAATAATAATGGTAATGATGTTTTGTTGGTGCTTCCTACTCTGGAGTTTCCAATCTCCTGCCTAAGGGAGGAGGAAGTCAAATTACAGATGAGGACAGGTTGAACACCAGAAAGGTGAAAAGATTGTCCAAGGCTGTCCACTGGCAGAATTGGGAAGGGAAGGTGTATTCTGAGTGAGTCGCAGCATAGTGACATACAGTGATGAACTTTTATGTAACACTGCTTCTCAAAATGAAAAATTAATTTTCTTTGCAGAAAATGGACTTTGGCATTATTTGCTTTCTTGTCCACCTCAAGTGAATGCTCAAAAGATTAAATGGTGATGAGAATGATAGGACAGTCTGTTTACACCTGGACGTGCTCTTCCATGAGTTCTCATGAACTCTAGTTGATTCAGCAGACAAAGGGTTTCACTCTTCAAGCTTATCTCTTGCCTTTCACAAACCTTAGAATAACAGAAATAGCAGATGTAAAAGTAAGGCAGGGGAGCGGGCACCCAGTGACATCAGTGCATAAATGCAGTTTGCCTCATAGCAAAATTGCTGCTCAAATGATTAAAAATATTTATCCTGATTATAGAGATATCTAGAGATTTAAAACAGAAATCAGATTTGTCACAACAGGGTCTTTGAAAATTGATAAAAAATGTCAGCCCATCCTCATGTAACCTGAGGTTTAAAATTCAGACAAAAAATGATGAATGGGTGCAATCAGAAAAAGATAAATAAAGGGAGAGAATGCTAGATTCCTCTGTAAACTTTATAAATGAAGGCTCTCGATAAGGGAGAAGATGAAAGTGTAACAGGCTAATGTAGATATAGCATTCTGTGTAAAGAGACAAATTGTGAATCAGAATAACAACTGAATGATAAAGACTGATGCCACTGATGCAGTGCAGAGGTTGTATGTTTGAATTTGTGGCTGAGTCAAGGAAGCTAATAATGAGACATAGAATGAGGTGACTTGGTTCACCCCCCTGGAAGGTAAGCGTAGCCTGAGCTAATTGTTCTGTCATTAGTGGAGGTGTCTAAATCTGTGACATGAATTGTGGGTGGAAAAGCCACCTCTGGGTGTGCTTGCTTCTCTTCATTCACCATTCATAGATGCCATCTAAGTGACTAGTTTAGATCAGTTGCTTAACTTTCAGGAGGCTAAAACTAGCTAAGAAGAAAAGGAGCTAAGGTGATGAGTTCATAGCAGAAGACTGTTCTGAATGCACTGAAGAGAACAACGTGAAGGTCAGGAAAGCTCTAGAGGAAAAAGTTGAATTGTCAAGGGTAGGTAAGAGTAGCTACATGTCAGTTGTGGAGCACCTGCCTGGAAGGTGCTACAGCCGCCTTCCAGCTCATGGTAGATCTCTTTTCTATCCCTGAGGCAATCCTAGAGATCAAGGCTGAGATCTGGGAGCTGACAGAAGTAGACACAGGAGTGCAGTGCTAAGACAGTGGTTGGAGTCGTGTTAACAGATAAGATCTCCTAGAAGAAAACAGGGGAAAGGAAGAAAGGACGAGAGTGATGAAGCTCCTCAGAATATGGCAGTAATATTAAGAGGAAATGATGTAGTGGAGAAAGTGAGGAAGTGACAAGAGTTACTAAAACCAAGGAAGGTATGGTGGAATATTTATTGTCCCTTAAGGAGGTAGCAAATAATCAACCACTAAACAACATGAATAGAGCATATTGGCTTTGGCCAGGAGAAGGTCTGCAGAGATTTAAGTGAGAGGTGGTTTTGAGTGGAAGGAGCAGAAGTTAGCCTGAATTGTCAGAGAAGAGTCTTAAGTTAAATAGTTTGGTGAAGTTGATTTAAGGTGAAACCATAGGGATGGTCTATGAAGGAGAGCAGCTGGACAAGGACCAGATGACTTGATAAGAGGGGGTTTTTTCTTTACAATGGGGAAAGTGTATCATTCTGACACTGAAGATGGAAGAGGGCAGCAGTGCAAGGTAAGCAAGAGCCATAAAAGAGCAAGTTAAAATGCTGGTAAGAAGAGGTTATGAATCAGAAAAGCATGCATGCACTAAGCACAGATGAAGAAAGCTGGTAGAAGAGAGGTGCTGAGAAGCCTGTGTGTTAGGACCGAAAACAAAGGGCTTTAACAGAGTGAAGGGATATGTGTTAAGGCAAATTCAAGTGGAAAGAAGAGGGAGCATTTCAAAGGAGATGCATAATAGCAGGCTGAGTACAGTAGTAATTAGCCAGAGCTGAGGCAGAGCAGCAGTTACGCGAGCTTTGCAATTACAAGTGGGAGGCCCAGATATGAAAATGAATTTTGAGCTTCCAGAATCAGGGAGATTTGAGTCCATTATGAACAGAGCATTTTTAGTCTCCCGGGGAAAAGAAAGCGAGCCAGGCCAGCCATTCTGAATTACCCGAGCAAGCATTATCCCCCTAGTTAGTGCTTGCAATTGAGGAGCAGAAGATCTGGGGTTCTGGTCAAGCCCTGCCGTTGTCTTTACGATACTGCTTAATTTTGATGCTCGCATACCCCTTTGGGGACCAAGAGGCTGAATTAATTAACATTTACTGTACCTTGAGATCTTGAGCTGGAAGGAGCTGTAAAAATACAAAATACTAATATTGCAACTGTCCTAGGCTAAGCCCAAGGAGAACAGTGTTTCACAGCACGCAGGACCCGTGCACGTGAACTCACATTCAGGTGTGCAAATGCCTATAGGCATCTAAGTTTGGGGGTTGTTTCTGTGACTGGGCTTTCTGTTTCAGCTTCACATCTGCAGACTGGCCTAATAGTACTTCCTAATAGACTGGGAGGAATGTAGATATTACACTGAAAAGTGTCACTGTAATAAATATCTTCAGTCTCTAAGGTAGGTAGATAAATAACAGGTTGGAAGCTGCATTGCACCAAAACCGGCCAACTGCATCCCAGCTAGTAAAGAAATATTATGAAGGTAAAGGGGGAGGCAAAGGTAACGGGAGAGGAAATGGGATACGAAGTGTGATCAAAGAACTAATTGAAAGTGAGCTAAATGTGTCAAATAAACAGTAACAGTAAAATCCTAACAAAACGCCTTCTGACATTTGTTCTAACCTGTAGTTCCCTTTCTCTCCCGCCTCCGTTCTGTGTCTCGTAGGTTTTGTTAGCTATGACAATCCAGTCTCTGCACAAGCTGCTATCCAGGCTATGAACGGCTTTCAGATTGGCATGAAACGCTTGAAGGTTCAGCTGAAACGCTCCAAAAATGACAGCAAACCTTACTGATCTTAACCCCAGATGCTTACTGCTCTTATTTTAGCTTTCTTAGGGTAAGTCCCATGAGCAAACCTGTCCTCTGCAGGGGGGTTAAGAAAGAACATAGAGCCAACCTTCACAAGAGACAGTTATTTTTACAGTTACCACTTCCATTTCCCCACTTGTCCTTATTACACTTGGCTCCCATTTCCTTGCCAAGTAATTACTGAGTTGTGTTACTGTATTTTGTTTTGCAGCATAATTTATCTCCTTTTAAAAAAAAAAATAAATAAACGTCTTGAAATTCAAAGCAACACACACACACACACACACACACAAAAAAAAAAAATGTGCAATTTAACTCTGTGAACCCTGGTGCCATTAGCACACAATAAAAGTTGTTTTCTGTGGATGGATCATATTTTACCAGGGTGGCACCAGCAGTTTATAGGTTAAACAAAATGGCCTCATGCCAGTTGAAGCACTTATTTTGCAACAAAAATTGAAGCAAGTCTTTCCACTACATCAACTTGTTTTTTGAGAAGATTTTTTTTTTTTTTCGGTTCGAATCAACGTATTGTTATATATTAGTCTGATTTTACACTGGTCGTCTTTATATTTCACTTTTTTTTAAGTTCTTGTTTTTTTGGAAAGGATTAATGTAAAAAAGATTTAGAGATCTGTTTCTAAAGCTACAGGGTTTAAAATAAAAAAATAAAATAAAATGAGTGACAATACTTGATGTTTCTTGAGAGATAAATTTAATAATAATAAAAAAAGAAAGCCACAGGCCTGTAAATTTTATTTGTAAAAAGCATTTCTATTTTTATACAAAATTTTTACTGCCTCAGAAATAATGGAAGTTATTTATTGCCTATTGTTAACTTATTGGATACCTAAAGAGCAGCTCTCTATGCTAGCTAGATCCTTTGAAGTAGTCTCTAGAGTAATTGTGCCAAGAATGGGCGCTTTTTCACTGTTGAACCCTACACCCTTTACAGTTCATGCTTTTATCCTCTTGTTTGTATTTGTCTGGTTATTTTGTTCGTAGTTTCCATTACCTAGTTTAAAGTTCAGTTGTCTGACCCTTTTTCCCCCCCTCCCCGTACCTTTCTGTTACATTTGTAGAAACTGGTTCTTTCCTCTCTTGTCTCCCCAAAGAGGAATCCATTCTCTCTGACTCCTTTCAGATGGATTCTTTTGGGGTTCCATTGTGCTCTTGTTGACAAGTATTGTAAGTTAATGCAAATTATGTGAACGGCTCATAGACTCTACTGATAAAAGATTTGCATTAGTTTTCTCCTGCACCCATAAAAGTGATTTTGTTTGTGCTGCATAGATTCTATGTAACTTTTTTTCCTCTTCCTTGTTTTTTCCCTAGACATCTCCATGCCCGTTAGCCCATCGTTTGCCTAGCATGTCCCTGTGGCGTCTCAAAAAAAAAAAAAGTTTCATCGTCCCGTCATTGTTTCTGATGTCTTTCTGACCTCACATCATATTTGGTTCTCCTACTGACCTTTGATCTAGTTTGACCTTTGAAATTTGCATGTGACCTCATCTAGCTATGAATTCTGGGAAGTCAATGTGAAAAAACATTGCTGCATTCATGCAAGACTGAAATTTATTATTAGATAAATTAATGATAGGATTTAAAAACAACCTGTGGCAAAATGTTTTTTCTTTCTTTCCTTTTTTTGGTTTTCTTTTTTCCCTTGGGTTTTTTTGTTTGGGTTTTTCGTTTCGTTTGGTTTTGGTTTTGTTTTTTTTTTTTCATTTCGTAAAAAAAAAAATAAAAAAAAAAACAGACTTGAAAGTATTATACAGGGATTGGCATTCTGCCTGGTCACTGGTGACAATAGCAATATGTGTCCAGAGGCACAGAATGTTGGTTTCTAACAGACTACTTCCAAAACAGTTTGAGAAATAAAACTGTCTGATTTTAAGTCTCTAGAGGTCTGTAATAGTTTTTACATTTTTCAGGCAGTGTAAAGTTTTTTGATAAGGCCATTTTAGGTGGCTCACTTTCTCATTAAAGTATATATATAGAACCACTTTTTGTAGATTAGTATAAGAAAATATTTACCCTGTTTTAGGGCAAATGCTACCTACTTGTGTCACCTTTTGCTGAACTGACTCACAGTTAGACAATCCATGGTTTAATGCACATGAAATTACCTATATTTTATACTGTTTCAATGTACAGAAGAAAGGTTACTGTAAAATGTGTTACGTTGGTGCTTCTGTGAATTAAGTTGTGGTTTCATCATGAGTCTTATGGTCTTAAGTGTTCTATGTTTATAAAAGACGAGTTTAAAATTGGTTTACTTGAACAACAAGAACAAAAACAAGATTCAAAAAAAAACACAAAAAAAAGTTGTTTGCTTAAAAAAAATGAATTTCATGTGAAAAATGAAAAAATATTCCAGAATAAGTTTGTGTTGGCTTGTGACGCATTGATGTCATTTTTTTATTGTGAACAATTTAGATGTGTTTGTGTTCAGCAAAATGTGATCGGTTTTTCTTTTAAAGAAAAAAAAAAATCAGTGAAACTATAGTGCCAAATTCCAAAGGTACTTTCTTCCTAGAGCTTCAGTGTGTTTCTTGTGTGAAGTAATTTGATAACATGGGTATTTTATTATGTGTTTTGTATAAATCCCTAATATTTAAAGAAAAAAGAGGTTAAAAAGTTTGTTAACTTGCTATCCTGTGGTCTTGTTGCCTGAAATTGTTATTGTTTGTTATTTCTCTTTGATGTTTTTTGTAAAACATTGTATAAGTGCCCATGTTTCACTTTTTTAACCACTCTGCACACATCAATGCTGTGAAAGCAAACCTCACTATGTATTTTCTTCATATTGTATGGAAACCTCTAAGGTGAGAAAGTTTTGAACTTTTAACCCTTTCCACCCAGAGCTGTCTTGAGTGTTAATACCTTTTATACATTCACCATTTTGCTGTTTAT